CGGCGCGAAGCGCCGCCGCCATGGTGCAGCCCCACGAGCGCCTCCGTCCGGGCAGCCTTCCCACCGCCTGCCGCAGCTGCTCCTCGTCCAAGGCCGGCCTCAGCCCGCGGCTGAATTCCTGAGGCCAGGGGGGCCGTGCAGCTGCACAGGCCGGGGTGAGGGACTGTCCAGACGGGCAACAGGGTGGGATGTGCCCGGCGCAGCCGCGGACAGCCCCGCGGGGGCCCTCGCGTTAGGACCCAGGGGCGGGGCTCGGGGTGTTGTGGGCGGGGCTAGCTCACCGGATTCTCTCCGGAGTCGCCGCGGGGCCCGCCAGGTCTTCTGGGCGTGTGGGAGCGGATCGGTGACAGCCTCCGTTCTCTGAGCCGAACTGCTGCTGCGGACTCGTCCCAACCAGAAGGATGAGGTACAGACAAGCCCCGAGAGGGTCTAAGTGAAGATCGAAGTGGGAAATAAGGCAGACAGGAGAATGAAGAAGCTGTGCGTACCCAACTCCGGTAAAGCTCTGGGTGGCAGTTTTGGCAGAAGCTTTGCGGGCAGTGAAGACAAATCCATACCCAGAGAGTCTGCTCCAGGGAGAGCAAGGTGCTGCTCCTTCCATGAGAGAACTGGCCTGGTGTAATCAGTCTGCAACCAGAGAGCTGACTGATTCTCAGGGGGTAGTGACGTTTTGGGGTCTCAGTGTTGGTCTCTGCTGTTAGCATATTGGGCACTTAGTGGCTTTAGCCACATTGGCCCTGGTGAGTGGAAGTCATGTTGTTAAGCCCAAACAGAAGCTTCATCCATGATGCTTTGTTCATGAGTCCATTTGGCTGGGGAGGGAGGCCCACTGACATCCACAGGATGGTTGTTCTGTCCACCTCATTAAAACCGTCCTCTGTGGAGGTCACCCTTTGGCACACATTGATAAGGGACGTAATTATCTTAACATTCTGTGCCAAATTAGAGAAGTCTGTCCACACACCTCATCCCCAGACCTCCTTGAATTTTCTAATCATGTTCCTTTCAATTACCTGATCCTCCAACCAATCCACTAGCCTCAGCCCGTGAAAAAGTATAGATCTGTACTTCTGATCAGACAAAATGAATGACCAGCTGCACTGCTCAAAGTTCTGCCCACTGGGAGGATTTCCCTTACCACTGCCCCTCAGAGCCTTCCTAAAGTAGGATATTCTACGACTGTCCCTTTTCAGGTGGTGCGTGCATACCATGCAGAACCCAAGAGTTTCCTTCTCCAGGCAACTAGTCATAGGGAACTTACAGTGAAGCTGTAGGTGGGAGTTGAAGAAGGAAGGTAATGTTGCAAGAGTAGAGGCCACAGTCATGAGGAAATCACTTGTGTCTTCAGGATGTGCTTGAGCCCAACTTTATATATACCGGGTCCATTTGATGAAGGACTGCTGCTGTGTGCCCAGCTTTATGGCTTGGTGGGTCAGACAGCAGCCAGTTCATGATGGAAGCTCAGGTCAGAAGGGAACTTTCTGGCCCATGGTCAAGCATTCAGGTTCTGGTTTGTTTGTTTTTTCTAACTTTTTATTTTGAAATAAATATAGATTCATAGGAAGCTGCAAAAATAGCACAGAGAGGTCCCACGCACCCTTCATGCAGTTTTTCCTGCATCTTATACAGTCATTTCCTCGGAATCTACAGGGCATTTGTTCCAGGACCTGCTGCAGATACCAGAATCCGTGGATGCTCAAGTCCCATAGTCAGCCCTCCGATTCGTGGTTCTGCATTCATGGATTTAACCATTTGTGTATCTTGTAGTACAGCAATATTTTTTTAAATTTGCATGTAAGTGGATCCACGCAGTCCAAACCCATGTTGTTCAAGGGTCAACTCTGTAACTATAATACAGTATGAAAACCAGGTACACATTGGTACAATCCACAGAGTTTATTTCAATTTTATCAGTTTACATGGATTGGCGTGTGTGTGTGTATGTGTAGTTCTATACAATTTTTATCATGTGTAGATTCCTGTAACCACCACAGTCATGATATAGAACTATCACCAGAAAGATCCCTTGTGCTTTCTCTTTAGAGTGACATTTGTCCCTCTTTTGTCTTCCCCCACCATTCCTAATCCTTGGCAACCACTCATATGTTCTCCATCTCTACAATTGTGTCATTTTGAGAAGTTAGACAAATGGAATTAGTTATATGACCTTTGGAGATTGGCTTTTTCACTCAGCATAATACCCTTGATGTCCATCCAAGTTGTTGAATGCATCAATAGTTTATTCCTTTTTGTTTAACCAATCATCATTGTAGGATATTTAGTTTGTCTCCAGTGTTTGACTATTTCAACAAAGCTGCTATGAACATTCATGTACATTTTTTGACATTTAAAAATTTTTTGTGATAAAATATGCATAAAATTTACCATCTTAACCATTTTTAATCCAGAGGCATCGCGTACAGTCATATTTTTGTGCAACCATCACCACCATCCATCTCCAGAACTCTTTTTATCTTGCAAAGCTGAGACTCCATACCTGTTAAATGACAACTCCTAAGTCCTTTCTCTGTCCAGTCTCTAGCAACCACCGTTCTACTGTCTTTATGAATCTGATTAAGTGTCTTATATAAGTGGAATCCTACAGTGTTTGCCCTTTATGACTGTCTTATTTCACTTAGCATATCCTCTAGGTTCACCCATGTGTAGCATGTGTCAGAATTTCCTTCCTTTCTCAAGGCTGGATAATATTCCATTGTGTGTGTGTGTATACATACATATATATACACACACACACACATACATACTGTATTTTGTTTATCTCTCCATCTGCCAATGGACGGTTGGGTTTCTTCTGCCTTTTGGCTATTGTAAATAATACTGCTTGAACATGGGGGTACAAATAGCTTTTCGAGTCCCCATTTTTAGTACTTAACGATATACCCATCACGGTCATGTTTTTGTGTGGGCGTAAGCTTTCATTTCTCTGGGATGAATGCCAGGTAGTGAGATTGCTAGAATGAATGGTACATGTATGTTTAGTTTTTTAAGAAACAACCAAACTCTTTTTCATAGTGACCATATCATTTTATAATTCCCACCAGCAATACAGAGAGATTTAGTTTCTCTGTAATCCACTAGCATTTAGAATTATCACTTTAAAAAACTTTTTAAAAAGCTGTTTTAATAGTTGTGCAGTTTTTATTTGTGCATGGTTTCAATTTACATTTCCCTAAGAGCTAATGATGTTGAACTTCTGTTCATGTGCTTGTTTGCCATCTGTTATGTCCTCCTTGGTGAAATGTTTGCTACTCTCTAGTTGGATTGTTTGGTTCCTTTTACCATTGAGTTTTGAGAGTTATTTGTATATTCTCGATGTGAGTACATTTTGAAGTAAGTTCTCTGCAGATATTTTCTCCAGTCTGTAGCTTGTCTGTTTTGGGGGGAAGGTAATGAGGTTTATGTATTTATTTATTTTAATAGAAGTATTGGGGATTGAACACAGGACCTCCTGCATGCTAAGCCTGTGCTCTACCACTGGGCTATACCCTCCCCCTGTAGGTTGTCTTCTCATTCTTTTAACAGGGTCTTTCACCAAGTAAAACGTTTCAATTTTGATGAAGTCCAATTTATCGGTTTTATGGATCATGTATGGAAATATTAATTGATTTTTGTATATTTGATCTGATTGTATCCTAAACTTTGCTGAACTCATTTATTCCAATAGGTTTTTGTTGTATTTCTTAGGATTTTTAATGTACCAGATCACTGTCATCTGTGAAAAGAGATCGTTTCACACTTCCAGCCAGCTAATTAACATTCTTTGATACTGTTTTTCTCTCTCTTATGTTTCTGTTCACTACTGCAGCATCCTGAACCCTGCCCTACTCCTGTTCCCAACAAAAAGAGAACATCATGCTTTTCTTACTTTAGTTAGGAAACTCTGTGCCTTGTGCAGATTTACTAGAGACTCCAAGTAAGAACTCTGGAGCAGGGGGAGGGTGTAGCTCAGTGGTAGAGTGTGTGCTTAGCATGCACGAGGTCCTAGGTTCAATCCCCAATACCTCCATTGAAAAAAAATAAAAAAAATAAATAAATAAGCCTAATTATTTCTCTGCAAAAGTAAATAAGTTACTAAAAAAAAGAATTCTGAATATTTTTTGTTGATGAATCATATCTCAAAAGTAAAACTGAAGGTTATCAAGTAGGATAGTGTCACTAATTTAAGTTCTTTCTGGAATATAGTCCTTCACGTGAGTTACAATCAGCCCCGATGGCAGCACTTACTGTGTACAGTTTGTCAACCAGCCAAAGACCAGAGAATAAGCATAGACACAGATGAGATGAGTACATGACTTGAGATGCTTTAAAACAAAGAAGGTTCCCTAACCTCCCCCAGAACCCCCATCAGACATGGACTATAAGCTGAAGAACTTATGCATTCACTCCTGTTTCCTAGAAAGGTGGTTATTATAAAGGCCGAGGCTCATGTGAAGGTGAACGGAAATGCCCTAGCAGATTATTATGCCAAACAAGCTGCCTTAACCAAGGGGAGGTAACTAAACCCTCAAAGGGTAAATCTCTAGAGGAATTCAAGGAGGGCATTATAGAATATCAATGTTTAGACAATGATTCTGAAAAACAAGAATGTTTAAAAGACCATAACCTTCGCTCAGATCATCACCAGTGCTCCCAAGATGGCCACTTGGTGGCACCAGATGATTTTAGATGGATATCAGCTAAATTTTCCATAAACTACTCATTGTGATACAGACAAATTGCTTCCTATCTTAAATTAACAGTGGTAAATACATTTTAAAAAGAAAACTTTTTAACCAGTTGCTTTCAGGTCGTGTGTCACCTGTAAACATAACCTTACATTCACAGTCTGTTACTAGTTTGAATTCTCCCGTGTTTGATAAGGGAGGAGGTGTGACGAAAGCCCACTCCTTCTCTTGATATTAACAGGGCTTCTGTTTGGTGTGTCCTGTGTGATGTTGAACGAGATGTGTCCGCCAACAAAAGTTTCCCACACACTGTATGCACAGAGGATCTCTTTCTAATACATATTCTCTGAGGTTCAGTGGTGTGTGTGCTCCAGCTTAAAGCCTTCCTCCGTTGGCTGCATTCATAGGGATTTTTTTCCAGCATGACTTTTCTGATGTTTAATAAGGGACGCGGTGTGAGCAAAGGCTCTTCCACATTCGTTACATTTGTAGGGCTTCTCGCCGGTATGAAATCTGTAGTGTTGAGTGAGAGATGAACTCTGGCTGAAGGCTCTCCCACATCTATTACATTTGTAGGGTTTCTCTCCAGTGTGAAATCTGTAATGTACAATGAGAGAGGAGCTCTGGCTGAAAGTTCTCCCACATTCCCTGCATTCATAGGGCTTTTCTCCAGTATGTGTTCTCTGATGTTTAATCAGGGATGAAGTATGACCAAAGGCCCTGCCGCATTCGTTACATTTGTAGGGTTTCTCTCCAGTGTGAAATCTGTAGTGTAGAACAAGAGATGAACTCTGGCTGAAGGCTCTCCCGCATTCGCTGCATTCATAGGGCTTTTCTCCAGTGTGCGTCCTCTGATGTTTAATAAGGGACGAAATATGACCAAAGGCCCTTCCACATTCATTGCATTCATAGGGCTTTTCTCCAGTGTGACATCTCTGATGGCGCCTCAGTTCTGATTGGAAATGGAATAGCTTCCCACATTCATTACATTTGCAAGATTTCTTCCCTGGATGGGTTCTCTGAGAGTCATTTCTCCCTGAAGTCTGTCTGAACTCTGTGTCACATTTATGGGGTCCTTCTCCCGTGGGAACACAGTGCTGGTTAACAAGGACTGATCTTAGGCCTAAACTTGTCCCAAATTCACTCCATTCATGATCTCTCCAAAGGGTGGCAGATTTGTGAGTAAGTGACGTTTCATTCAGATGTCTCTCCTGTTTTGGGGGGTGCATCTCTAACTGGTCTTCACAACCACAAGCTGCTCCCAGTCTGGAACACCAGAGTTCATCTCTAATGTGTTTTCCCACTGATGCTGTCTGCAGTAATTCTTTGGAAATTCCTTGACTTAGTATTGATTCCTTGGCCTGAGGCCTTCTCTCCCAGTCTGAAAAAAAGAAAACAAAAACAAAAGATAGTCTAGTATTAACCTGTTCCATGTACCAAGAGGAAGTAAAGTCCCATAATAGATGTAAGATAATTAAGCTTTAAAATAGTATCTAAAAGAGGTGTACAGTTCCTTTCAAGAATGGCGTGTATTTGAAGAACATTTCAAAGGTGTCATGAGTAAGATAAGCAGCTGACTAGAGATTAGGAAAACCTAAGGCAGCAGTGTTTGGATTCCAGTAGGCAAGATAAATCCAAAGATTGTAAAGACGAGGAGGGTAGGAAGATGCCCTCTGCAAATTCTTCCTCAACACTCCAGTCCCTACCACACATTATTATGTATTATACACACACACACGTAACATGCATGATAGGACTGTATATCGTTGTGGTAGGCAGAATAATTATCCCCCAAAGATGCCCATTCCCTAATCCCAGGAACATATCAGTGTTACTTTATATGGCAAAAGGGACTTCGTAAACGTGATTAAGGGAACAAACCTTGAAATGGGGAGATTATCCTGGATTAGTCAGGGGGGCCCGGTCTAATCACATGAATCCTTAAAATCAGAGAACACTTCCTGGCTGAGTCAGAGAGAGATGATGTAAGCACTCGACCCACCATTTCTGGCCTTGAAGGTGGAGGAAGGGCACCACAGGCCAGGGAAGGTGGCAGTTTCTAGAAGCTGGGAACGCCCGTCAGCTTACAGCCAGCAAGAACACAGGGAGCTGTTTTATGACTGCAAGGAGTTGGTTCTACCACAACTCAGATGAGCTGGGCACAGATTCTCCCCTAGACACTCCAGAAGGGAACCTGGCCTTGCTGGCACCTTTGCTGTAACCACGTGAGACCCATGCTGGACTTCTGGCCTATGGACTATGAGATGATAGACTTGTATTGCTTGAAGCAGCTAAGTCTGTGACAATTGTTTCAGCAACGATAGACAACTAAGACAATAACAGTGACACTTCTGAAGAGGGAAGGGACTGGCAGTGCCTAACCAGGGCTCTCAGAGGCAGGATTTGACTCAGTAGGTCTTGTGTGGCTCCGGGGGATCTGACTGTTTAACGAGCTCCCCGAGAGATTCTGAAACACAGCCGTGCTTGTGGACCCCTGTAAACAGACGGGGGCTGATCATGAGACTAGATCCAGATGTCAGACCCTTAATCTCATTCTGGAAGGAAACAAGATAAAGTACCACTGTAGAGGAGACCAGCGTCCTCCCTCTCGGGCCTCTCCTCCAGGTTCCTATGATGAGGCCCAGCCAGAGCTCTAGGGTTTGAGTCCTGCTTTCTGGAGCTTTGGCTCTGGCCTGAGGCTATGATTCTGCCTCGGAGATGGACACTGGCACAGACTGTCACCTCCTCCAGTATCCTTGGGCTTCACATGGTAGGAGAGCTTTGTGTCCAGAATTCTGCCCCAAAAGTGGAGCCTATGAGGTATGCTTAAGTCATCTAGGAATAAGTGGCCTCAGAGAGATGCCATCCACAGCAAGGAGTGTCTAGAACCTCCTCTGTTGCAGCTTGAAGTGTCCTCACCTTGATCTCCTGACGTTTTCTGTCAGGATGTCCTTGCCAGTAACCCTTTAATTTCTGGGCTACTTAATTGTTCTGTTTGATCTCTTGCTAACTCCCTTAGCCCTGCTGACATAGGACTGCCAGGCACTTACATCTGTTAATCCTTAAATTTCATCCAACACTGACCATGTGACTTCCAGTGATGATGCAGGGCCCCAAGAGTCCAGAAGGGTGGACAGAGGTGGGTCACAAGGGAAAGATAAATGCTAGAGAAGACAATGAACATCTCTTCTTTCCACACCAGAAATAATTTTAAAAAGTGTCCAAGTATTCAAAATACTGGAGTTGAGGGCCCCTGACAAGTGACTTCTCCTTCTCAAAGAAGAGCCCCCGACCAAGGGTTCAGGGCAACCTCCCTCTCATGGTTGGGCCTTACATGTGATGCTGCTTTGCTCTTCCTCACTCACCTGGGTGGGCCCCTGTTGAGACTTCTCTTTCCATCATATAAGGCTCTTCCCCTTTCTCCAACTGGCAGATCACATGTGGTTTGGACACTGGAAACCCTGATGGTAGAGAATGAAAAAGATCGTATTCGAGGCCAAGGCTTTGGCCCTTGGTCTCGAGGGTGGAGAAATGTTGTGGACAGCCTCCAAAGAACAGGCCCTGTGAAATATCGGGAGCAAAATCATGAAACTTCTTATTCTGATTTCATATAGAGCAGGACTATTCCTAGGAACGAGGAGCATAAATACTGTATCTCTGGGGCCCAAACAGACTATAAATGTCTGATTCTAGAACCCCAGGGCAAAAATCAGCCAACAGGCTCAGGCACCCCTAGCTTTTAAATACCAAGGAAATAAAGATGGCCTGATGGGCAGGCTTTAGGCTTTGGGGGAGTGGAGCTCACCCAGGGAGGCCAGGTTCCTGAAGTTCTCCAACATCACCTCCCGGTACAGGTCCTTCTGAGCAGTGTCCAGCTGCCCCCACTCCCACCAGGTGAATTCCACAGCCACATCCTCAAATGTCATCAGGTCCTGAAATACAGAAGACACTCTTGCACCCTCAGGAAGCACACTTATGGCCCTCAGGAGAACAGCAGATGGGTGTCTGAGTAGAACCACAGCATGTACCAGAAGGGATGCTAAGAGTTTCTAGCTATCACAGTGCCTGCCCCCGCTCTCTGCCCACATTCTGGGTTTATCATCTCAAAAACATTTTAAGCTGCTCCAGGGATTATATCATCCTTCCTACTTGGTATCTCACCCATGCCCACATACATCAACATCAAGCTGCTTAGGAATAAAATCAGGATCTCAGAAGAATCAAGCCTACAGAGACATTCTGCTTAGGTAGGGGAGACAAATCCAATCCATTTCCTCAGTTTTCAAGAGGTTTTACTCCCAATTTAGTTGCATTTAATTAGAATCCAGTGGAGGTGCTGCAATTGCTCCTCTTCCCTCTGCTTTGAGATGACACATGTCCCCAGAGTGAAGATGTGGGGCCAAACCCCAGCTTGCATGTAATGTGGACAAGAAGTAAACCTTTATTGGTATAAATCTCCCAGGGTTTGCTGTTAGCACAGCATAATTAGTCTAAACGGACTCATTAAAAAAAAAAACAGGTGTGCAATGTGGGGTTCTGCCTTTAAAAAAAAAAAAAGCCTAAAATACATGACACTGGCTTCAGGGCCAGGCAGTGAGGAAACTTATTGGCAAGGTGGCAGCCCATATAATTTGGTGGTGAACCGTGTGGTAAAACTTTTGTCTGCAATAACCTGAGAGAGGAAAAGATGTAAGCATGAGCTTGTGATGTTATGGAGAGGAAGGGAAACATAGCAACATAGTGAGTTGGTTGTTACTGGCTGCATTTGACAAAGTATGTCAAGAAAAAAAATGAGCTCAGGAGTTTGTGTGTTTGCAAAATAAAAATCAAAGGCAAAAGAAAACGTCCAGAAATTCCAGGACTTGCAGGGTTGGAGATTTAACCAATTCTCATTTCCATCTGGTCAAAGACAAAATGGAGAAGGCTTCTACATGCCAAAGGATGACTGAAACTCAGCCTAGTGGCAAGGACCAAATCATGGGTGTGACTGTCTCACAACATTTTGTTTAAACCTCTGAATAATTTGAGATGGCTCCCAGGAAATCCTTTCAGTGGGACCAAATTGCTCAGAGTGGCTCAAAATATGGTTTTCCCAAGGAGACCCCAAAAGCTCCACAATTAAGTCTAAAAAGAAGGGCATATTTCAAAAAGAACTGTGGGAAAAGCTATTGACACATGGAGAGTCACACTGAATGTCCATGACTTGAAACAACCCTTGGGCCATTAACCTACTTGGGCAGGACGGAAGAGCTGCTTAGCCCTCAAAAGAGCTTATTCTCCAATATCATCTTCATATGTGACCAAGGGGGATACTGCAAAAGGAAGGAGCTTCTGGAGAACAGAGCCAAGAGCCCAGGAGAACACTGGACTGGAGAGCTGTACCCAGGGAGCAGAACCAGCCTGTAAGCAAAAGACTTCCCCACTCCCAAGGCCAGGGTCCTCACTGAATTTCATAACTGTTATGGACCTGGCGCTGCTGGGTTCCTCCCACGCTTCCCCTTTCGGAATAGGGACGTTCACTGCGGTGACCCTGCCCCACTCTTCCGTTGTATGTGGGGAATATGGACTTAGGCAACTTGTCCTTCTTAATTCATAGGTCTCCGTATCCAGACCTGATGTCCCCAGTATCACACCATCTAGGACTTTGATCCTGATGCTCTGATTGGATGGGTCTTTGGGGTTCTGTCTTCTGGGGAGAGATTCTGTGTGCAGGAGGGAGGGAAGTGAACATCTGTGAGTAAGAAAACAGCCAGTGGTAGACTGGCAGAGCAGTTATTCGTTCAGTATATTCACTGCCCCTCCCTCTGGGCCCCTCACTGTGGGAGACTTATCTCCCCACCTCATTGACACTAGGCTTGGCCACATGACCCGCTCTGGCCAATGGGTTATGAGCAGAAGCTTGGAGAGCCATCTGCACCTTCCCTCTGCCACAAGAGTGATGTATTCCAGAGGAGGGTTTGCTCCTTCAGCCTGAATCCCAAAGTGAAGAGGGTGTAGAGCAGAGCCACAGCCAGCGCACTACTGAGAGGTGACACAGAAGAAATACACTTCATTACTGTGAGCCACTGAGATCTGGGGCTGTTGTTACCACAGCATAACCAGACGGAGGTCTCGCATAAAACTCTGAATGGTGTACATCAAGGCCAAAGAGGTGTAAGCTCTATTTATTACTCTACTAATTACTTGAGAGAATTCTTTATTGGTGAGGGTTTCCCCTGTTGGCTTGAAAATTAAATATAAATGTCTATCATCAGGCTAGAATCCCACTAAATTCTCCCTCCACATTGAGCCTACAGCCAAACCTGAATCCACATCTAGAGTCAGCACCATTAACCCCTTCATCCCCATCACAGTGGAAGCTGACAATGACTAAGAAACTCCATTTGCCAGAAACTCCAACAACCACATGAGATCATTGTATTATTGAGTGGTTAAGATTCTGGAGCCAGACAACCTAGACCTGAAGCTGGCTTCCCCCTTACTACCTAGATAACCGCAGACATGTTACTTTATCTCTCTGTGCCTTGGTCTCCTCAGTTTACCTCTGTGCCTCAGGTGCCATTCTTCAAAACAGGAATGTTTCACAGATGAAATTAGTTACTATAAATAAATTGTGTGGACTAGTTCCTGGTACCTATTTGGTCTCAGCAAATGACAGCTATTATAATTTTCATCATTATCATTAACATGATTATCATCTCATTTTGCAGTTGGCAAAACCAGTGCATTGAGAATTTAGGTGACTGGTTGAAGGTCACACAGCCAGAAGCAGTAAAGTCTGTTGCCACACTAATCCAAGAAGATGACATTTGAACAGGGACCCAGCCTCAAATGGCCTCCTCACCTGTCCATCCCCTCCAACCCTTCTTGCCCCCTCTTCACTACGAGCCTTCCCCAACCTCTCCAGCACAGGCTGATTCTCCTTTTCCCAAACTGTGATGGAAAGGTCTGCTTGTGCCACTATCTGCCATCAAACCATGTACATCCTTCCTGTGACTGGGGCTGCATCCTGGGTGAGGTCCTCTCCCCTCTGTGGCTGAGACACTCCTTCAGGGCCAGGGTGCTCTCACATTACTTCGTTCTCACCACAGTGCCCCTTACAGAAATAAACCAAAGGATCTGAGTGAGGGCACACTGCGCAGAGAGGAGAGGGCCCTGGGCAAGGGGCGAGGAGCCAGCAAAAACCTTGATGGGCACAGTGCCCTGCAGAGCCGGAAATGGCGAACAAGGAGGCTCCAGAGAAAAGGAGGCAAAAATAGTTCAGGCATTTGAGGAAAAATTAAGAGAACCCCAACTCACCTGGGGCCTGGCTTTCAGGAGTAAACTGGCTGTTCCCTTTTCTCCTGTGTATCCCTCTGGAGGAAGAGCAGGGTCCTGAGAAGGGAGAACTAGGAAGGTAAAAGGAGCCATGAGGAAGGCTAACCCTCATGGGATTTACAGCTCCCAGACTCCCCATGTCAGCGTGTCACCTCCATGGTTCTGGGGACAACACTGGGTCAAAGGGAGCTGAGGGGCAGGGCAGAGGCTGCCCTTGTACAGCTGCATAAGGTCCCCACCTGCCTATAGGCCACAGCAAGCTGCAGCGAGCTGAAGTGACCACAGTCTGGCCACTCCATTTGAGAGTTATTTACTAGGTCGCCAATATGTAGGTCCTCCAGACCTTTTGAAAATATAAACATGGAGAGGAGCTTCAAGGAACTTTAAATGTACACTGAGGGTATAAGACAGGTTAACAATACAAAATAAGGCCCAGGACAAGGCCACGTAGGGTTATAGGCCTCAATGGAAGAAGTTACACCTCTCCGCTTATCCTTGGGAACCCCAGAGGCCAGCTCTTCCTGAAAAGCTGCCCTCGGTGTTCTCAAGCACTATCAGGTCTCTGCAGTGTATTTTGAGAGCCCCCTCTATTATAGAGCTTTGTATCATACTGTTTTTAAAGCCTTCAAACAAAAAACTAACCTTAACCACACCAAAGAAATAGTTAAGGCCACCACCAACATCAAAAGCAGAGGCAGGCAGGCAGCATAGTATAGCACAGGTCAGCACTTCTCAAACTTTAATGTGCGTATGGATTCCTGAGGATCTTGCTAAACAGACTGGTTCAGTGCATGCGAGGTAGAGCCTGAGAGTCTGCATTTCTTAAGAGCTTCCAGGTGATGCCTGTGCTGCTGGTCTACAGACCAGAAGGCATACAGGAAAAGAGAGGGGGTGGAAGTCCCAGAGATTTGGCCCACTTCTGCCATTGGCCAGTTCTCTGACCTTGAGCATGTGCACTGAAGAATAAAAAGTCAAATTAAAATGCCCACTTGGTGAAGGACAGGAGATTCTAAAGAAAGAAATGGCTTAAAACCTCCTGGGTCACTTGGACTGTGCTGTCCCCAACACGAGTGGGAGGGGGTTGGTCACAGAAGAGGCCCACCGTGTGCACTGCTGATCTTGTACACAGCTGATCTGGAAGAGCTGTAAGAACATTATCACTTAATGAAGCGATAAAGGAAATGGGTGGCAAGGCTCCAAATGGAGCCACTGTCCTCTGGTCCCTGGCCAAGGGCCACTCTTTCATAGGTTTGTTTGCCTTCTCCCTGTCACAGCAGGAAGAGACCCCCTCCTGCTCTACTCTCTCTCCTCTGGCCTTTGGGACAAGTCTCCCCTCCACCTTCATCATGGTCTCTGGGTGCTGGGACCTCATGCTCCTGAGCCTGAAAGGTTAGACACCACCACAGGGTAGGCGGTTGCAGATCCTGCCCCTTATCCAGCCCCTTCGTAGGGTCCTCCTCCTACGAGGCTCGGTACTAACTCCCCAAGACGGCTTCTGGCCCGCGGCACCCTCGAGAGCCAAACCTGATGCTGTGGAGCCCATAGCTGGGGCTCAGGGACGATGTCCTTTGACTAGGTCCAAGTCTCTATCCTTTGGTCGCAGCTCTGCAGTCCTCCCGGGGTTCAGGGAGAAGCGAGCAAGTTGGGTAAAACGGGGCATTCCCACTCCGCGAGACGATGCCCAGCGGACCCGCAGGGCCCGAAGCAGAGCTGTCAAACCTGGACCTGCCTCCCGGCGCGGGGCGCGGCTGGTGGGAGCGGTGCTCTTCCACACCCCTCACAAGCCCTGCCGCCGCCCACCGGCTCCGCTCCGCAGCCCTCCTCCCCGGGACCAGGATCTGGAACCCAGATCCCACGCAGACCAGCAGCAGACACGGCCACAGGCACACCAGCGACCTCGGTGCCGCGCGCCCCTCTAATGCCCTGAGACAGCAGGGACTCCGGGGAGACCCTCACAGGGAACGGACCGGCCCTGCAACTCTGCGCCCAGCTCCAAGCCCCCACAGCCCCTCGGAGGCAGGCAGACGGAGGGACAACTCTCCACTCTGTCCCGTGTGCGCCGGAGGGTCTCTGAACCCGCAAAGATCCAAGAGACGCCCCCGCCCCAGCCCGGCCGCCGGAGACCCGTCCTGAGCCTGCGCAGACGACTTCCGCGCGGGGGTCGCTGGAACCAGTGTTCCGGGCGGGTCGGAGGGGTGGGACGAGCGGCGCCTGCCACCTGGTGGCTTGGCGGGTCTTGGGGCGCTTGGGCGTAACGCTCCCGAGTCTGTCGGGAGGGTACGTCTATACAGTTACAGAAAACCTCTTCTAGCTTTCTCAGCCATAATTACTTGCTCTGTTGAACCCCCATAGTGTCTGGGAAGTGACATAATTAAAGAACGTATGGCTTTGTGTTGTAATTTCCAATTCTGATTTTCCCATTGGACTGTGAGTTCATTTGGGGTAATAACTGTCTTATTTATATTTGTGACAATGCCTTGCCTATGGTAGGCAACTTAGATACTTTGGGTGCAAGTGTAGACTAGTTCCTGACGTAGTACTTAATCGCATTCTTTCTGTAATCTCAAGTCTCCCTTGGAGCTCTAGTTTAATGGTTCTTTGCCTTGGTTGCCCTTTAGGATCACCTTCAGATCTTTTCAATCTCACTCCTCAGAGAGGCCCCCGGGTATCAATGTCAAAGCTCTTCAGGTGATTCCGGCATGCAGCCAAGGTTGAGAATCCCTGCAATGTCTCCAAAGAGGGCCCTTCCGGTAGCACCAAGGAAGGCAGGTTGGTGTGCGCTCAAAATGCCGGGAGTTGGGCTGGCTGCCCAAGTAAATACTCATGTATCCTGGGTTCTTCTCTTCTTTCGGCACAAAAATGTGCACGTATCCACCCTCAGGCCCAGCCCCGTCCTCAGAACCAAACTGCATGTGTCCTGCCCAAATTTTACAACCAAATTCTTTGAAGTGAACAAGCTGAAGCAGAAACAAGCCACCTTCCGGAGCCAGAAAACTGGAGTCGTTGTCTTCCCGGAGTGAAAATTACGAGTAAGGACGGGTCCCATGGCTGAGAGAGATACATTTCCTTCGAACCGTCCTCCCACCGGAGGACTGGAGGGACGTGACATCACATGCAGACAGCACTTCAGGGTGACCACAAGCCTCCCAGGAGTCCACGGCGATTCCCTCTCCCCACTCAAGCTACCACACCGCGTATCTGATCCAGTTTAGCAACGCCAACGCCAACCCCTTTCTCCGCAGGGCACGCGTGCGCAGAACCTTAGACATCATATTAAAGCGCGCCAACCGCTGGGACTTCTGGGAAATGGAGTCTGCGAAGGCCGAGCATTGGTTGGAAGCGGGGACGTCAGAACCCTCTGCGCAGGCGCACTGCTTTCCTGACCTGAAGAGGCGCCGTCTTCCTGGGTCCTGAACTGGAGGTGAGGGCTGTGGGTGTGTGTCTTCCAGGAGCCAAGTGAGCACAGCGGCCGAGAGAAGGGGACACTGAGAACCTGGGGGAGGTGCTATGGGAGTAGAACAGATGACGCAGGCAGAGCCAGCCTGCAGAATGTGTGTGTGTGTGGCGACGTCCCGCCTCGGACAGGTGCGGACGGAAAGACGTTCCCCCACCCCATGTGTGCCTGTGTTCCGTGGGGTGTGGGCACTGTTAGCAGTGGTCTTTCGGCCTGCGCCCACTATGTGTCAGATCCCAACTTTCAGGTTGGAAGTTTGGAGCCTTCCTCCGCGCCTCCTGTACCTTCTTCTCATAATGGGTGCCTAATAAATGTGAGTGAAATTGACACTAAATCCCGGTGCCGCCTACTCCAATCCCTCCCTGTTTCCCAGAAAGCGCCTCAGATTGTCTCTTTTAGCTCCCTGCTCTAAGGCCTCCGTACGAGTGATCAAGGGGCTTCATGGAGGAGGTGGGGTTTCATGTGAAAACAATACGAAAGCAGTAGCTAAGCGTTAGGCAGACTTGAGAGGAAAATGATTTTTATGAGTGAAGTGTCAAGGAATAGTGAGAGACAAGGGTGGAGAAAAGTACCCTGGGATCAGAGCATAGAGGATCAGGACACGACACGGTCAGCAGGGTGGATTGTATGGGACTGTTCGGGGACTAACAGGAGTAAAACTTCTGGTTGAGTTATTCTGGGAGTCACATCCAGGACTAGAGAGGGGAAGGGACTAGTGCAGGGAGCCAGTTAGGAGTGCTTGGTAGTGGTAGGTCCTGAAGCAAGCTGTTGTAAACCTGAATTATGTTGGTGGCAGTGGTAGGGAAGGATACAAATGACACTGCAAAACAAGAATCGGAAGGACCTGGTGACTAACTAAATTTGGGAGGAAAGAGAGCTAGGTAAGAGCACCTGAGACAATAACAGAACATCTTATAGAAATGTAAAAGGGAGATGAGTTGATGTGGGGAACTGAGTAGCAGAAGATGGTTTTAAGGTGCTGACAGAATGCCGAATTCAGAATTCTTAGTCATTTGGAAATGCCAGATGAGTTTGGAAGAGGGATTGGAACTAGACTGGGGAGCCATTTCTATAGAGGCCAGAAGTGGAGCGCCAGGTGTGGATGGATTTTCTGAGGAATATCACGTACTCTCACAGTCTGAGCCTTGGGCAGCACCCATGTTTCCAGGGCAAGAGTCGGGGAAAGAGTCCCAGCGAGATGCAGTTTCAGTGGGAGGAAGAAAGTCAGGCTAGTGTAGTGTCACAGCAGCACAGTACCCATTTGAAAGAGCTGAAACTTCACAACAGTCAAAAAGCTAAAGAGAAATAAGGAGAAGAAGATTATTGGAATTAGAGGTCAGAAATACATTGGCAGTTTTCAGTCATGCAGTTCCAGGTATGTGAGAGGTAACAAGAGCACAGTAATGGCTTTGAGGTAAGTAAGTGGTGATGATGTGCAGTCAGTAGGTAGATAGGACTCATCCAAGAAGCTTGATCATGAAAGGAAAACTAAATGAGAATTGTTTTGCCAGAGAGAGGCCACAGGATTCTGTGGAGATAGCTTCACATGGAGGAGGAATGTATCTGAGGATATGGGAACGACCTTCTGGAGAGATGGGAGATGCTGGAGAAAGAAAGACAGACTGGGTAATGCAGGGAGCAGATTCTGAGAGGGAACAACAGTGGACAAGGAAGTAGGACACAGATGTAGGACACTGAGGGGAAGTCCTGGAGACAGGTATTTCGGCTTTGTTGACCTCACAGCCCTGCTGCCTAGCACAGAACACGGAATATTGGTTCAATGGGGGATGAATGGGTTGGTGCTGGGTAGTAGAAAGGAAAGGAGCTTTCATTTATTGAACAGACTAAGATAAATGCTTTACATTAATTGTCTCATTTACTATTCATAACTGCACAGTGAAGTGGTTATTAAACAACGGGGCGGTCAACTGTTAGCTTAAGTAACTCCCCCAAGCCTTCACCATCAATCACGGAGGCCCTGGAGTGCTTTCTACCACACAGTCCTGCCTCACTTGGAACTCACTCTTGCGAAGCTTCGAGGTAGTAAAAGACAGCGTTCTGCTGAAATTGAATAGGAGCCATGGAGGTTTGGAATAGCTGTGTAGCTAAGATGGGAA